GTAATCATTTAAATTGTAAGTAAATTCATTTAGAAAGTTTATCAACTATGCATGAGATGAATATATGAGAGATTGACCACGACCCAGAGTAATACCCTATGTGTTAGGTACAAGTGTTTGTAATACACTGAAATAATTCAGTTAAAAAAATGAAATAGTTTTATTTAAGTTTCCCATCAATAGCATGAAGTAAAATATTAAAAAATAAATTAAATTAAATTCTGTTAGCAGTTGCAGTATTAAACGTTCCGACATGTTTTATCAAAATTTACTCGGACTCGCTACATGATATGAGTAAAATCTCAAGAATGTTTATAAAGTTTTACTTTTCAAGCATAACCGAGTTTCAAAGTGGTAAACGACATTTACAAAAAAGTAAATGGGAACCGTAAACGAGACTGAAAATTATCAATTATGTACCAAAGCATTGTTATGTACCAAACTTTACTGCTGTTAAAAATTATAGACATAATTATTTTGAATGCTGTCAAAAAACCCGAAATACTCGTAGGTCTCGCTATAAATAAAAATGCCACTTGAAACAGTAAAGGACTATATTTTCTTGCCTTTCCGACCCGACTTTTATGAATAAAGCGTGCAAATGACATTCTTATCATTCAGTAAATGTAACCTAGGGGACGAAAATAATCGCATGTCTTTTTTCGCGGTGATGTAAACAGATGACCGCGGGTTCAAAGCTCTAGCTCACGCGGGGAGAGCGGGGTCGGTAACAAAAGATGCTCGTTTCCTCGCCTGTTCCGCCAGAGGTCGGGGAGTGGGGTACAATAGAGGCATTGTTTGTGCCCGGTGACAGGAAAAACTCCAACCTCCGTGTTTCTGTCAATTTTTTATTTCTTTCCCCTTCATTCTTTATGCTTTTTCTTATTCCCTGTAACCTCCTTTGACGTTGACTAAAGGAAATCAAACTTGTTTGCTAAGATCACATCGTGATATTTCTAAGCTTTTATTACGAATAAAAAAGTTTTAATCTAAAATATATTTTAAGTTATCATACAAAATTTAATGTCAATGTTGTACAGTTTGTGTTCTGACCTTTTAATATTTTAATATCGCCATGTATATCAGGCATTCAATACTTACATATAATCTTCTTCCAGCCTTCGGCTATGAAAATTATGAAATACCGGTGTATTTCATAAGCGAGCGGTCGGCTGTACATCCGGCGGACGTACTCCCCCTTCTCCTGACCCTTTCCGGGCCGCTCTCATGATTCCTTATTTACTCGTTTTTCCTTATCAAATCGGACCATTCGCCTCACATTAGTAAGGATCCTGCAGTATTGAGAAGGTTTTTATGTAGTGTCTTGATTAACTTTTTTGTTTGGTTGTACATCGAGTCAATTAAGTGTGGCATCTTTTTGATTATTAGACATAGCCTTCATAGAAATTATTAATTCATTGAAAAAATATTTTACTTTTGATAAGCAGTAAGTAATTTTTGTAAATTACTATTACTATTATTTTGTCGCTATTTGAAAATGTTATTTCTTTATCCTCTATAAAAAGAACTAGTATCTTTGTATTTAAAATAAGGTTAATTTGTTTTAAAATAAGGCGCATTCTGAGGAATAAGCAATAATGAAATTCCATGTGATATACACATAATACATGATTGATGTGACAATTTGTGTGATTGAGTAATGACTCAACGAATTTGAGTGAAATTTGTATTTGCTAATTTAAATCCTGGAGATGGAAACACATTTTTTAACGTTGACGTCTATGCATACATACATGTACAGCAGGTGTTTATTATTATTACAATACTTTATTGCATAAAAATTCATAAATCTATACATATAATAATATTGTTACCAAGCCCAATCTGTACATTAAATATTTTTTGGAAAATTTTATTGAAATAAACATTATTATCGATACAGAGGCCGAATCTATAGTTTTTATAATTTTTGTCTGTCTGTTTGGCTGTCGGTTTGTAACCGCATCGCGGAAAAACCACTGGAGGGATTTTCATGAAATTTGGTACGATGATAGCTGGTTATCAGAGTCAACATATAGGATACTTTTTACCGCGAGAAAATATCTTATTTTTGAGAAAAAATACAAAAACTGCAATGTAAGCGTATACTAATATGTAAAACCTAAGAATTTGTTTTTTGGTCATCTGAACGTGGGCGGAGCCACGGGTAATGCTAGTATTATATAGATACATTAAATGAAAGATGAAAAAAGGTGTCTATGTTAAGACTTAAAGCCAGTAGATACTACCCATTATAACCAAATAGAACCTTCCACTTCTTAACGCGGCAGTATCACTTACGCACTAATCATGACGCTCCGACGGCTGGCCTACTGAGGCAGATCTCCTCCAGTTCTCTACAAGACATAGGGCGTTGCTCTCATGGTCCACTCTGCTATCAGAGAAGTACTAGGAGCAATCCAAAGCCTACCAGTGCGACTAAGCTTCACGTCCGGAGAGATTGCCGAACGCTAATGAGCCCCAACACAACGAGGCACATATTTGGGAAGAAACATTCTTATCAACATATCTTGCAGAAAGCCGCAGACAAAACTCGCGTATAATAATGTAACTAAAAATAAAAGCTTCTCTGTAGGGCAATATTGTAAAGTATAATTTTCCTTTAGATCGATATGCAATAAAATGCCTAACGCGCAAATAACGTCCCTATACAAGCACCCGAGAACAATTTCAATATTATCGTATAAAAGCGCAGCCCAGTGGGGCAATGTCGTTTAAATATAAATTCACCCCCAGAAATTATAGGTTTGAATAGAATGTGCATACGCGTATTTGATTGATTTGAACATTAAGAATTTTATTCTTTACTAGCATTGCCACAGCTCCGCACGCGTTCAGAAGATCAAAAACAAATTCTTAGGTTTTACATATTAGTATACTCTTACAAAGCAGTTTTTGTATTTTTTCTCAGAAATGAGAAGAATGTCAAACGTCCCATATGTTGACCCGGATAACCAGCTATCACCATACCAAATTTCATCAAAATCCCTCCAGTGGTTTTTCTGTGATGCGGTAACAGACAGACAGACAGAGACAGACAGACAAAAATTCTAAAAACTATAGATTCGGCATCTGTATCGATAATGATGTCTATTTCAATAAGATTTTCCCAAAAATATTTAATTTCGGACAGATTCGCCTTAGTTACAATTTTATTATATGTATATATGGACTATTTTGATGAGATTATGGCGCTAGAAAATGTCGAGCTTTTCAACTAAGAAAAGTTATCTTCAAGAAGTTAAGAAAATAAGATTAATTAATTATTTTATTCACTTTGGCATATCCTTAAGTATTTTTTGCAATTCCCGTAGAAACGAAATACTTAATATACATAGGTATAAAAATTGCCAATGCTCTATAAAATATTCCTATGTAGAAAAATCAGTCAATATATTACAAATTTTGAAATGGAAGTATAATATACGCGCCACTTACTTCGCTGTCTGTCACTGGGCACTTACGCTACGTAACGTACGTTTGTATTTATAACTCTAGACAAACATACAAATCTATCCCACGGGAGCCATACATTTTTCGGGATAAAAAGTAGCCTATATGTTTTTCTGTATAATGTATGAAATATATTATTGTAAAGTTTCATTAAAATTCAATTAGTAGTTTTTGTGTACTAAGCTGTATATGTTACTATTGTTTTTTAACTATCCCACGGGAACTCTTTAATTTTCCGGAATGAAAAGTATCTAAAATGTTGACTGGAGATATAAGATACCATCATACAAAACTTCATTTAAATCGGTCCAACAGTTTCGGAGATTAACCCGTACAAACAGACAAACAGACAGAGATACAAACAATTTCAAAAAAAATCTGGATTTGTTCTATTTCTCTTCTTACATCCCCTGACTCGGTTTTTAGCTTTTTTTCGACCTCTACGGTTTTATTATATGTATAGATATGTAAGTAGCGCCACTTTTGCTTATTAGTGAAACAGAAATTTCGTGTTTATAATAGTAGTGTCATAAAACAATATTTATCATAATACATTGGTATAAACTAAAATATAATGATTTCATAATAATGCCATATACTAGAATAGAGTTCACATATTAGATAGAAATAATTTATAAAGTAACCGTCACAGCTCCAGCTCTGTATATCCGGCGGATATCCCACCCGGCCCGCACCTCCCGCCTCCACGATTTCCAATGGATTCCATTCGTTTTTTCGCTCCTTATCCCAACTCATGCGAAACACATTACGTAGGTATACACTTGTAACACAATTTATTTTATAAATACTTCTTACAGATCAGCGAGCTTGAGATTGATTGAGTGAAAGTTTGAGAAGCGAAAAAAAGGATACAAAATATATTTTATGCACAAGCAATTACTAAAAAGAAGTATTAATTTTTAACACAAAATGGAAATGTTAATATTTTTTTTATTATTTCAATTTAATGTGATCATAAAAGTACCGCAATATTCTAATGACGTGGCGATTTATGGTACATTTTACGATAATTTAATATTTTGCAATTTCTTTATCGCAATCCTTAGATTACAATTTCTTGAAGCGGAAAACGATTCGTAGAAGTTGCCATACACAAAGGGTTACTAAGCGATACAAAGGGCCTTATTAATACTAACTTCAAAATAAATTCACCATCCTCTTATTTCGTTGTGCATTAACATGTTGTTTGTGTCTTACTGAATTGTATATCTATTTGTATTTATAGATATTTAACGACTGTTTTCAAGCAAATATCTTAATTAAAATTTTCTCGACTACCCAAATTTTCTCATACAGTTTTTAGTTTTAGATATTTTGTAATAAGAAATAAATAACTCCCAGTAATTAAATCCAGAAGCCCTTCGTTAGCGGAAAATTCCTCGCTGAGTCGTAGGGAGTAACCAGTAGGCCACGGGTAGGCACACACTGGCATGTAAGTCGAGGCTCTCATCTCATGCCCACGTCAATAATTGGAGCGGTTGTTCATGTGTTTTTTGTTTCTGCAGCGGTACTCTCAGCGGGGAGGCTTTGTTCGGGCTCGCAAGGCGCGCCGGACCGCCCGCCGCCCGCCCTGCCACCACCGCCCAACGTAAAACGGTTCGTATTTTTCATTGTTGCTTTAAAGCTTTATAGGTTTTGCTTTATTTATGCCCTTTATATCTTTCCATACAAGATAAATGCCTGGAAGCCGATGTTCTGTTTGCAACAGCTTAATAGTTTACCGTTGTCTGGAATTCTAGTTAGATGTTTTTTTTTATATTTTGTCTTGTATTGTATTTTCACGGGAAGTTAAGCAAATGATAAATAGCAAAATGGGTAAAACATTCATATAAAAAATTAGTAAGACAGTGCAGTAGGTATAATGCAACGTTAAGTTTTAAAACTAGTACCTAATTGTGTTTTTCTAGTTCAGAAAACTTTTCTCACTGTTATTTAGGCGCGACTGATCTCACTATCATATGTTTTGGGCGGCGGTGTACAATATGCCTTTTAGTATATTTTATAGTCAAATATTGTTAGAAATATCTCCACGAAACCTTGTATTTTGAAGTTTTCTGTTTTAGTTTATTTAATCCACAATATACCTATGCTTCATAAGTGTTTATTTGCTTTTAATTAATAAATAATATATACATACTTTTCATTCTACTCATAATATAAGCGATCTCGATAATGAATTCTCAGTGAGATTTTTTTAAATTTAATCTTCAGTATTTTTATTAAATATATTAACGTTATTATAATTTCATGTACACACGTAGCACATACATTTATGAGATTTTAATTTATTCAGCCCTATTAAGGTTCCACTGCTCGGCACGGGCCTTTCTTCAATACGAGGGAGATCAGGCCACTCGATCAGGTCCACCACGCTGACCAAGTGCGGGTTGGCGGACTTCACCTGTCTTTCGAAAACTTGCTAGGTTTTCTTAGACATGCAGGTTTCCTTACGATGTTTTCCTTCACCGTAAGGCAAGTGAAATCATGTTAGAAATGATTCGCATATGAAAGTATCAAAGGTGCGAGACCCGAAATTTGAAGCCGCTTTAAATACAACTAAATAATAGATAAATATAATTTTTAATTAGCATTTATAATTTTAGTCAGATTTTGATTGTAAATATAAATATAAATAGTAAACGAATCACGTAATTTTCATACGAGTATTTAGGTCAAACAAATTAGGAACGTCTGTTGAAAGCTTCATAATATTAACATATTACACACAATAATGATATGGATTGCTATAGTTTGAGTTTTTGTATATTATTCTTGTACAACTTATTCCTGCGATTCCTTTTACGTAGTAGGTGCAAGGAAATAACCTAAGCTATCGATATTCTGAATTACACTCAAATCTATTGAATCGTTACAACATGAAGAAATAACAAACGCACTTACTACTTGTATGTAATGTTTGGATACTACTCATTTTCCTCAATTGTATAATTATAATATATGAAAGTTAAAATTTTATAAAGTATGTTTAAGAGTCGGCTTAAAAATTATCCTAAAAGTAAATTAGTAAAGTACGGTGTTAATAAATTTCTATACTACAAATGTACAAAAGAATTATGAAAGTCGTCAATAGTGATTGACGTAGATATTGGGTATATAAATATATACAAAAATACAGGTGAATTGAATATATGTACATATTTTTTCAGATTTACGTGAATACTTGACATTTTAAGTAAAACTACATTTCATTTCAAATATATAATCTATTGAAATTATAAAAATTGTTTAAAAGTAACAAATATCGTTAGGTACTTTGGTGTCATTTTGTATTTTTGAAAATCATTATAAATTTTGTGGGTAGATGCAGTCTGTAACAACTATATTATAATAACCTTCTAGACATCTAAAACCTTAGTGTCTCCCGTGACCATGATTGCTGTAAACCATTCAAACCGTTGGGAACGTTTTTAAAGTCAGTAAAGAAAAAGCTTATTCTAAAATCAGAAACATACTTCCATAAATATGATTAATTGGGTTAAAGACGAATTTTGCAAATAATTTGATTACGATAAGTTTACACGTAAAATTATATGACGCTATACTTGCGAATAACGATGGTAAACGTGTTAATTGGTTTTTAAATTACATGGTAAACTCCCTCGACAAAGGCTACATTGAAAAGCAAATTAATGCGATTCCATTGTAGTTAAATGAATATATTTTCCATAGTGGGTCTCTTTCATTAATAATTTTTAAAGAAATAAAAGGTTTTTATAAAAAGCTTTCATATGATATGTGCCGTAACATTTTTTTATAAACAATTTTTAATTCTATTAGCTATTTCTATTACGTATTTGCGATTTAAATATATGTATTGGAAATTATTTTATAACAATTTAATTTAATTTTTAACCGACTTCCAAATAGGAGGACGATGAATTGAGAACCTCTCAATTCATCGGAATCTTTTTTTATGTATGTTCACCGATTACTCGAAGACACCTGAACCGATTTGGAAATATTTTTTTCGTTTCGAAGGGTATACTTCCCAGGTGGTCCCACTTAACACGTTCACTGCGTCATCATTTTGAAAGAACTTTCAGCTGGTGCTTTGGAGACCTAAAAGATCTCGAAACTAGCCTACCTTTTGGTGCGTTAGAGACCTAATCAGTCTCCTAAAAATACAGTTTTGAAAATAATTTATATCTTCCAAAAAACTAATGACATATATTTTAAAGTTTTTGTGGGTCAAGAGAGCCTATTGCTCTACATTTTGCTAGGTTCGCACGCAGTTATGACATTAGAATAAGCTACAAATACCAAAAAAAATTAGATATCGATTGTATCTCGTACCGCAACCGAAGATAGTTCAATATGTGTAGTAAGTAGTGATGGGAATATCTCAGTTGTCGATTGAAAAAGTTTTATTAAAGAAGTTTATTTATAAACTATGCAAAGTGTTTTTCATTAAAACATAGTAAGCACATTGATTATTTGCATTGCGCGCAAATGGTATTTTTTCAGCTTTTTTTAGAAGCGTCAGTGCTGTTTAATGTGCGTCGTAATTTTTCATAACAACCCACACAACGTCTTTTTTTGTCGCCACGTTGGAAAACATGATCTGTAACATCTTCCTTCGGGGAATTCTGTAATAAAAAGCATTATATTTTCCAAAATTGTAATTATACTGGACGATGCAGCACTATAATCCAGCGTTGATTTTTCATTCTTAGAAATCTCACCAAAATAAAACAATTTTATTAAATAATTAAATAAAATATATTAAATAAAAATTTTTTTACACTTTTTCGAAACGTGCGCGCAACCTCCCACGTCGACACTAGGACAACACTAAATCGATTCACACAGCGCCCGCGCCCCCCAACCTCCCTTTCTTGCGTCTACGAGGCGTACGATTCCACGAGTATCGACATGTCTCCTAACGCAAGGAATAAAAATAATTATACTACTGTGCGTTAGGGACCTAATCCATCTCTATTTTTTTTTATGTCTTCGAATTCACCTTTAAGTAGGAAGCAAATATGTATATTTGTCTTACTCATACTTAAAGAACTTTACACGTTAGAGCCTCCCGCAAGGAGTGAAACAACACGATTATAGTCAACGCACAGTACGAAAGTCCTGCAAGAGATCTGATAGATCTCGTAATGCAGCGAACGTGTTAAATTTTATCAATTTTTTTAGAAAAGAGCGATATAAAAAAATCAAGATTTTTTTTAAATAAATTGATTAATAGAATATGTTATAAAATAAAAAACCTTCCTCTTACACATTACCTGCTTATTACGTCTACGCTAAAAATGGAAAAATAAAAACTTAAATAAAAAACGACTTTCAGGCACTAAAATGTAAAAAATAACTAAACGGGGTTTCCATTTAGAATAGATACTTAATCAGGATATTTTCAAAGTCGGTGCCAGCCGACAATATTTTAAGATACGAATATCTAATAGGTAAATATAATTAGGTATGAACTCTAGTTGTAATTGTAGTTAAAATATTATACATCAATATTAGTTCATTTTTTACAAAAACAAAATATGTTAATTTAAAAATGTACGGAACTTGATACCTTTAATTTAAACATTATCATATCCCAGATACGTTAATCGAAGCAACATTCAATAATAGAAGGATTTTTTTTTTGTAGAACATCCTTATTTTCCTAGGATAATAAAAAAATCCATCTATTAGATTCTCAATCAGTGATGAGAGCAGAACAATGTAATAGGTATATGGTATTGGAATTCAAGCACCATAGAGTAAGTATGAAAGTGCATTGGTATGAGTACCGTGTAAACGAAGTTTCATTTTGAATAGCTAACCTAATACTATTACCAAGCCAATGCTTACATAACGATGTGTGTACTTTATTATATTACATAGTTTTAAGCGAATGTGGCGAGACATTTTAAATAAAACATTTTAAATAAATTTTTGAATTCATTTTGTTAATTGTGGGTAGGCTGTCTGTAACAACTATATAATACCTTAGAGACATGTAACACCTCAGTCTCTCCCGTGACCATGGATGCTGTAAAGCATTCGAAACGTCGGGAAACAAAAATGCAAATAAATCCGCGACAAAATCCGAAAAGATAGTTTTATTTAAAATGTCAAATATTCGCGTAAATCTAAGAAAGTATTATGTGGCGAGACATTTTAAACTTAAATTATCGCACAAAAATAGAATCTCTCTCGAGTGTGCAAATTTTATATTTTTCTGGACATATTTCTCTAAATAATAGATTGAAACACAAATATATATTTATTATTTCACGAATATATCGTGTGTAGTCATATGACTACTTATTCTTAGATATCTTACAGTACAGTACAGATTACTTACTACTGTATTGAAAAATTCGTCTTTCATATTTTACATAATTAAATTTTAGGTTATGTTAATACTTACTTTATAAGAGCTTAAAGGGGTACTTTATGCATCGAACCGAATTTTATTTGCATGACTAGGCGCGATAATGCTTTTAGGTCAGCCTAGAAGTAGTTCTCGACCCCGGAATACTTTTTTTAATGTGTAAAATATTTTTTTAATTATATATATTGTGTATATACCCTCAAATCAATACCTAGCTAGACATTTTAACTTACTT